GTTTCTCTAAACAGATATTAAACATGTGTTACATATTTTGACTAGATGATAACTAAAATACCAAAAACAAAATATTTTTAATTAATTTGTGCAGCTTCTGTTTAATAAATCGATAAGAGTAAACTAATTTGATAGTTGCGAAATTTGTCCGAAATTAATTTCCCCTCTACACTGCTGTGGCTCGCAAAACGATAGGCATGCTCCCTCTGTCCGTGTGTAAATGTGTTTAGGGGTCAGTAGATAGGTATAATTTATTTCAAACTTTACAGCTAAAAGCCATAAAACGTAATGGATAAATTCTCTGGTAGTCCGCATCTAAACTATTTGTCTCTTCATTACAGCCAGGACGGGAAGGGACGTACTTCAGGGCAGAGGCTGAGACACTGAATCTTCTCCATCTTCCACCATTCTTATTCAAGCCCTAGTTTTCAACATTTTTCTGTTTCCCTTTTCGGTTAAAAATTACCAGTAGGTTTAAAAAGTTGGGAAACAGAAGTAAAGCTGAATAGAAAGTGGCTGGAGATTAATTATTTATTTGCCACTGCTAAAAAGGAAGCGCGCTATAGAGATGGGATATGCCAAATTGTATCCCTAGAACTAAACGTTGAACCGTGATATCGATAGCCTTATCAAAAATTTAGGGTCTCCAAGATTATGCTATATCTTATCCTATATCCCAGTGTAATGCAATATCCTAATGTTCATATTTCCCATAAGAAGAGTAAGCAAAAAGGGAGGCAATTCTGACTTGCTACCATTTGATTTCTGTCAGTCTAATTGGATTAGTTCACAAGTGACAGTGTTATTAGGTTGACGACTTCTTGCTTTTTGAGCCCAAGGGGTAATTCAGCAACCTAAATGTGTCAACACATGATTTGGCACGTAAACACTAACATGGCAGTAGTACTAGCCATTTGCCTTGTCATTCTGTGATCGCGTGATTATTTCGCTCTTTAAATAGCACTGTCTGGTGTAATTACTGTTTATGGCATTTCTAAATTTGGCACCCTCTTCAGTTCAAAAAGTCATGCTATTAAAGATAGGTATTTTCCAGGAACCGTTATGTAAAAGAATCAAATGAAGTAGATTGGTCCCTTTTTGATAGATTGATATACCTGGTGGGTGGGAAATTTTCACGGCGTAACTGCATACTTCTGACCCCTTTTTTAGTGGTTATAGCCTAGACGGCGTTCAGTCTAACTTATAAAATCTGACAGACTTGTGGACTGCATTAAATTTGAGGACGAAACTTCCATTTCCCTTCCATAAGAAGTTTAAGGAGCATTTACACTAGAGAAGAGTCGATCTTTCTCCTTTATATTACACTAATGGATAATGAATAGATCTTAAGCCTTTAATCCAATTTACATTGATCATTTTTTTAATTAATTAAAAAATTTGTGTCTGAGTAACTGTTTTAAAATGTGAAATAGGATATTCTAGGGAGCAAACAAAGACTTCTTCAGACCTAAAAATTTGCTTAAAAATATCCTACTTACTAAGTATAGATTGTTTCCGCGAATAAAGGAGTACATTTAAAACAACGTATTTTACCATTAGACCATTAATAAATTACAGATTCCACAACAACTGGCTCCCTGTTTTAAAAGCGAGTACGTGAAAAAATGGAATTGGAGATCAAAACACTTACATAACTACACAGAATGCGAAAATTTTTTTTTATCTAACGGATTTAACCCAAAAATTGCTGCATTAATTGGTGATTACTAATTGGACTTCCCCCGACACCCGAGTCAATAAACCCCCGAGGGAAGTAACGGCCCATACCCCTGGCAACAGTGAATTTAACCACCTTATTTAATACAGGGTAATGAAAAGGAATTCTTTTTTCGTAAATCCAACTTTTGACTACTAACCTTCCATCTTGTCAAATTTGGAAGGAAGTAGGGAAAGAGGAAAAAATTTACCAAGGTTATTAAAGGATTTTACTCAAGTGGCCTTCAAATCACCCAATTTTATTTAACACGAAAGTGCACGGAGGGGATTAGAAGTAAAAACTTTTGAAAATAACTTATTTTCGCAGCCTCTGATTGGGGTGATAAAATGTGGGTTGGGCCTGCCTTTCCTTCGATACATCACCGATTAAACCACCAAATCCCTTAAGACTTTCATTTTTTTACCAGAAGTACTTTTTTCATAAATTTCGTGGGACAAACCTTTTGATGTGAATTTCCGATTGTGCGTTTTTCGGGCTTTAGTATAGAAAAAATAACAGCAAATCGGGGAATGGTAAACAGATAGTTTTTTCAAGGGGTGACCTACGTAGATACAACTGCTTTGTCTAGCTGTTTATTTGTTCAAAAATTCTTTGTTAAGTGAAAACAAGAAAGGGAAGTTTCCCCAAAACAGCCTCTGTACTGTATCTTAGGTGAGGTAAACTTAAGTTTCGCTACATGGAATGCACCTGCGGAATTTTCCAAGCTAAGTGACTTCGGAAGCAACGTTCAAAAAAACTTTTAACACAGACAACTAGATAATGTACTTACATTCCTATAGACAGTGAAGTAAATTTTAACATGTCCAGGCTTATTTAGAGAAGGATAAAATTGGAAGGGAGAAAAGGAAAGTAGTTTAGCATACCTAGGGTTTTAAGGACATAAATAAAAGCTTGAAATCCAAAGCCAAAGGCGATAAAAAAATGATGGTCACGAAAATTGTTTTTTTGACGTCTGCGATCAGATCCTGTATCTTGTGTACTTGTCAACGTGAAAAGGAATACAATCAAATGTAGCATCTGAATCGCCCAGTGAAATCAGAGGGTACAGCTTGAAAACCAACTTCAGGTGTCTTAAAGACGGAATGTTATCGTGCGTGGGGATAAAATACGAGAGGAAACTTTAAATAATAGGACTGAGGTAGGGCGAGGTATAGGGGCAAACGGCGTGTAGACAATTACAAAGAACTTGATGAGTTTCAGTTCATTTAGGTCGGGGAAACTCGTCATTCGACGTTATTTAACTATTTTGATTTATAAGAAGAGCCCATTTTTCGGTGAACTGTCCAAGGGAAAAAATAAATGAGCCAAAAAGATTGTTAATCGTAGTAAATGACTTGCACATTGGATGGACGATTTTAAAGGAAACTCGGCCTCTTGAAAGTGCAAATATATGCAAAGAAAGAAGGAAGAAATAAGGACAGATACTTTACTTTTGAATCTTAAAGTTCCCCTTTTAACTTGTATTTTAAAAGTAAGTTGCTCCAGTCTAGTTGAATCAACTACGTACCAAATTGCGTGCTAATTTAAGTATTCTACAATATGTAAACATGAATTTAATCGCCATTGTTTTCAAAAAATGCTGTTTACAAAATTGACAAGAATTTGTAAGATCTTTCAGCTTTTAATAATTTCTAAAATTTGTAAAAATGTTAATTTAGTTGAGGACTCTAAAATATTTTGTGTTCCAGTTTAGCAGTAATCACTTTCTCCGTAAAAATTTCACCTCATTGGGGGAGAAATGTGGAAGAGGAGAACAAGTATTAAATTCCACCAGCACTTCTTCAGGTATTTAAAAAGCGAGAGCAAGAAAAGTCTTTTTGGCAATTTAATTCAACGTTTAGGTTAGACACTAAATTTTCTACCTTTGCACTCCACTGAGGAGTGATTAATTGCCCCAGGATGAGGGAAGAGCGGTAGAAAAGGCTATAAGACACCACTGACTCCAGACAGGACCGTTCTGCTATATAAATTATAGAAATCACTAAAAGCCATCAGTATAAAGTGTAGACCTACAAGTAAATAACCCTATTCAAAAGGTGTATCAAAGGCTTTATAAATTGTCACGGGAAAGTATAAGCCTTAAAAGTGTTGTTAGGATTATTGTCACTAAGGTGAACTAAAAATAGAGCCTATTTTTGTGTTGTTAAAAAGGCAACAATCAATGCAAGGTTGGCGAGCAAATGCGTAAATAAGATGTGCGAGAGTGTGATGATATTGTCGTCAATCTATTTTGACCTGTACAGCTTGTCATATCAGTTGACAACTGATTGATAATTCACGCTGTCCACTGACACCATTCAGGGGGCTACGACCCTCTTTCTAACGTGTCTGCCGATCTGTATCAGAGTACCTCCAAAAGTTGAGGGAAAAGTTCATTCCTCCGCGCCTAAATGTCATGAATAAATCTGATGCAACAGGAAAATTTATGGATACTAATGATTAATGTAGGTAGGAAGCAATTCCTCCTAACGCTCCGAGATTAAGTAGTGCTAAGCAGTAAAATATTAAGACATACCTTTTTTAAAAGAAATTAAAATGGGAGGTAAAAATATCCCTCTTCTAATTGGCCCACCACGGACATCGTCCACATCACAATTGCATAATTAAGGGTTCATCTCAAAAGATGTAATTTTTTTAGAAAAAAGTTTGAATAAAACATACACTTCTTGAGAAAAATTTGGTGTCTAATCTTCATTGTCTCGTACACAAGCACCCAAACAAAGTAAAATTGGACAGTACCAGAGGATACTTGGGTCAAAATGCTCTGACACATTTTTGTTTTAACTTTTCCTCTTTTTATGATATCTTATTTAATTATTTCAAATTGTATTTGCGGAGAAAAAAATTTAAGTGAAAGCACTGAACTTACATGCAAATTGGTGGTGCAAGTGCAGTAAATAGAGGATCTTTGAAAATATTATTTGTAACTCTCGAGACAATCGCCGAGGGGAGAGCAATCACGACAGCAAGAACAATAGCAGCGGTAAGGAGAGCAGTCACACGACAGTTGACATCGTAGTCACTTTCACCTGCCCATCGTCCAGCTCTTGCAATGGCAATGCTCCGATTGAGACAGATTGACACAAGGAGGAAGTTTGTGAGACCCACAATGAAGTAAATTAGAAATGAAGCCACGTGACACATGACGGAGCCCAGCTGCCAACTTTTATAGACCACGGTGTAGGCAGTGTAGGGCACTCCGAACCACACTAATGCAAGATCACAGAACACATGCATTAACAGCATCCGTCGATTCGATGTCGATTTGGGGTTGCGGACACGCATGATTGTGTAGACTAGAAGGAGATTTAGGCATGATCCAAGGAGGAAGATGAGAGAGTAGAGTGCCATTACGATGCGTTTGTTGACATTGTAGTTTAACGTATTGACGTAGTAGGAGAACTCCTTAGCAATAATGGCGTACTTATGGGTATCAAGGATAAAATCAGTTGTAACAGAATTGGTGGCTGCAGCGGTAATGTTTTTAGGTTCCATGACCACCGGAGAATGTGGTTTGGAGAGAATTGGATGATATGGGATGAAGACAAATGTGCTGCACCGGTGTGATAGCTTTTAAGACGACTTGGGCATTCTGATTGGTGGGGAGAGGTGAGGCTGCCTTGTGATTGGTAAGATCGCTAAGCTGTTGATTTCAACTATATAATACATAGAATCCTAAAATGCTACTTAGGAAATGCGTTTTGTAATATTTTGTAAGTTTAGGCCTTTCACTGGCAATTTTATTAGGTTTAGCTGTTTTAAAGAAGATTCTTCTTTTGTACATTAATAAATTGTCTCTTCACTAGCAATGAAAAGTTCTTCTTTAAAGTGGTCTGCCTTTAAGTTATTTGCCAAAGATTGCGCATTTATATCATGATGCTAATGGTTTCCAGAGCTTAGAACATACCCGAGATTTTCGGCAGCGCATACTCTTTAAGCACTTTGAAACACCCCTGTTTCGTAAGAACCATAAAGTTCAAACTACGCTAACTTTTTGGAAAAAATGTGTTCGGTTTTTAGCTTTACTGTTTGGAATGTATTTATTAACCTCTTATGTCCCTTGTAGAAAAAAAAACTTTCAAGGTCGTGAAGCAAAGAAATAATAGCCTTATATAGGTTCCATTACTTTATAACTGGTAATAACTTTAAAGTGCTAGCCAAGATTTGATTGTTTCCCTGATCTCCCGGTGCTTCCCTAACACCCTCTTCTGTGAATGCATAGCAAGGCTTTATTTCAAGCATCTTATTTCATGGCATCTGTGTGAGCAAGTCAACTGACAAGTTATTGTTGGCATGTTGACGCATCCTCCAGATCAACAATTCTCAAACTTCACTAATTTTCTTTAAAATATTGTCCTATTTTCACTCTTTTAGACAGAATATGTAGTAATAAAAGTTCTCACTGGCTAGAAGGAGTAATAGGTAATTTAATTAAAGGATCAAAATATTTTTATAATGCAAATGTGAAAAATAGCAATAAACTTATTCAATATTTTCTGGTATGGTGAGATTGATCTGCACTCCAGTCTCGTAGCTACTCCATGCGTCTGTCAGTAGATCCTATTCATGCAAAGCACATTTTTGGACATTCTATCTGCTTTTCTAGCTTGATAGGCACTATTCTCCCTCCGAAACTATAACATGAAATTGGCAAAAAAGCACTGGTTCAAATTAATTATCTTAATTTGTTTAAAAAAGAGAATGAGAATTATCAGGAAATAAAGCAGCAGGACAATTTTAAAAAATGTAGAGGGTTGCGATAAAGTAATTTGTTTTCCAAAGTGCTAAAAATCTTACGAAACGTCAATATTCATCTAACTTTTTAATAGTGTTATGTAAAATTCTGCACAATCTCGGAATAGGGTCTTCTAGATTGTCCTCCAGTGGACCTTTACTGGCACCACATATTTAAATTCGTTTTTCAACGGTGCCTGCAGCTGTAGCATACTTCTCAAATAAAACTTGAAGAAGTTACTTATAGATTGGCAAGCTTTGGAAGTAAATTTCAAGTTGCAAAGCTAATGACAAAGCTTGAGTCATGACAGATCATCAGGTCAAAATTCCCCGATCCTATGCGGAGGAGAACGAAGGGTGCCAACACTGCTAGAGTAGACATGTGCCTTTGCTTTATAACTCGACCCAATAAAAGCCCGTTACGCCAAAAATATGAAGAATCCTTTAGTCCCTTTGATATCTTGATAATATTTTGGCTGACAATCAGTTCGGGTCTAGTTATTACCTTTTAGCTCCCACGACAATTTTCTTCCCCTCAGAATTGCAATTGAGTGACATCTTTAGGGAAAAGCTGAACTAATTTTTCCAAAGAAGGGAAGGGGGAATGAAATCTTCATGATTTAAGTTTTAATAGGTGAAGTAGCTGGAAAGGGGAATTCTAGTTGACACTAGCTGACACCGGTAAAGTAACTAACATCCACTCATCCCTGACTCAACCAAAAATTTTTTTAATTAGGAAAGTAGATGAGCGGAGATGGACTTCAGACAAACAAAAACAGAATTTACCAACTTGTCATCATTAGGTGCATCTCAGTGTGCAGCCAATTTTCTTACTTCTAAGGTAAAATTTTTGAACCTCATTTTGAAGCTGGTAAGCAGATTCCATGCCGATTAAAACACGGGTTTAGGCTTATATATGAAATATTTCTCGCTTAAGCTGCATCAAAATAACTTTTTTATAGGAACTAATAAAAAGCATAATATTTTATGGGGTATTTAAACTGATTCCTTATTAAAGGAGTTCATTTAAATGGGTCTCTTTTTCATCAGCACTCATCGTCAAAGTTGGAGGGGGAGGGTTTGGGTTCATTTAAACATTAAAGTATAGGCGTGAGTCAAAAGCAGTACAAATGGTGCCTTTCTTTTTATGGCCCATTGCTAGCAGAAATAAATGAACAGGGCTAAACCAAACGGCAGGTAGCTGGAGAGGTTTCTTTACCCTTCCTTGGACTATAAATTTGACCGTTAAGGGTTACATTCTGGCTTCCCCTTTAGCAAGTTACAGATCGCACTTACTTCAGATCCGGTTGAGTGTTTTGAATATTGTCTCCTTTGCAGGGTAAACTGCACCTCAGGCGAGGGTAAGTTCGGAGGACAGAGACTAAAAGGCTAAAATGTCAATGAGCCTTTCCTGGTACCATTTGCCTGAAGGCAACAATGGGAAAGGAATTACCATGCCGCTTAAAGATGACATGAATTACTTTGTTCGGGGTATATGAGAGACCAATTATGTAAGGTCAACAGCACCTCCTTAACATGGGATTTTTCTCCATTAAAGGTTAGAAGCAGCCACCGTTTGACTTCTCTGAGCCGAGCTATTGCACATTTGGTCAATTAGAATAGAAGGAGGAAAATAACCAGACTCGGTACCTTAACTTGTGGTTTTTAAGGGTCATAAACCTGAATTTCTTCTTAAAGGTAAGAAAAACATAAGAAGAATCATTGTCGCGAAAGAATTGTCAAAATTTGGAAGTTTTGCTTTGATTCCATGAACACACAGTTAAAACATGGCGATGGTCTCGCTAAGTAGGGGTTCTTAATCATGAGCTGACCAATAAAACATAAGTTACACAATAAAGTTATCCAAAAAGAACCTATCTGCTTTAAAGTTCAGATAATCTCTGAATTTTATCGTTATTTTATACATGCCTAATCTCTTCTAAAAGATACTTACTCGTCATGTGACAGGAAGTCCTCTACAGGGTGATGTACTTTAAAAGGAAAAACTGTCCGGCTCTACTCCCATCAGACTCATTTACGCCATTTGAAAAAGTTAGGCAAGTGTCTACCCCTGCCATAACAAAGAATGATGGTAAACTTTAGGGGCCATCGGTTTAGTAATCTCTAGTCAAACGCTTACAAATGCAGTGGTTTCAAGTAACCCGACAACTGATTTGACGTGAGAAGTAGCTTTTTGTTCCTACAGTTTAACGCCGAGTGCAAAATATATGCCACTGAATGTCACTCTCATAATCATCTAAAGCACGAACTCGTTTCCAGACTTCTCTTTGGACCTAGGCTCCAACTTAGAACGCAAAGATCATGACACAGTAACACTTTAACGTCTATCGAGAAACTACTCTCCTTCAAATGCAATCGGAATTGGTAGAACAGCCGAAATGGGAGTGCTTCTAGCCCATTAGGCAGATCTTTTCTCCGTGGGAAGACCTCACCGCTTCATTCCTTGTCCATTTCCCTATTTTAGGCATCGTCACTCTCACATGGAAAGAAGGATAGAAAAGAACACATTTTCCAACCGTCTCCTAAAATAAATTTTTAAAAGATTAAAAGACGCAGCTTTTTTCATTGAAAAAGAATTGTATATTGCCCAAAAACAATACCTTTAAGGCATTGTTCAGGAGGTAACGCCTTAGCATTCAAAGAAACACACGGGGTTGTGCTTAAAAAGGAATTGGTCTTCAGGTGGTCATCATTAAAGGCCTTTGTTTTACAAATAAATAAAACATTTAGCAATAATTCTGTGGCTTAATCCTCTCTCAAGTCGGCCAATCTCCCTCCCCTTCAGAGTGGAAGCACTACTCGCAATAAAATCTCCAAAATTATAGGGAAAGTGGACGACTCTATGCATAATGCACCACATTATTTTTGTTTTTTTCCTTTTTCTTCAAATACAAAAGTTATTAGCTTGACAGTCCAAGAATGTGACTCCACCTCCAAATTTAACCATTTTCCATTTGATATTGAGGTTTGAAATTGGAAAAATTTAAGTTCTGTTTTTTTGATATTGACATGAGGGCCTTAAGTCTTTAGCACAAACTTTGACTGAAGACAAACAAACGAAAGGACGGACGGGCGTGCAGGCAGACAGAGAGGTAGTGAGATAAAGGGATTGGCAGGTAGATGACAATGCAAATAGATAAAGTGGATAGGTATACGTTTTTCTGGTATCCCATAGCCAAAGAAAACGGAACTTGCAAGCACGTTAAAAGCACTTTTATTGCACACTTTATTGCGCTTCTAAGTAATCTTCTGCCACCTTGTCAAGTCCGATGCCTCCCATAAAAGGGAGCACTTAGTTCCGTAAAATGAAAAAAAGCCTTATATGTTACTTTTTAATTGATGAATTTGATATCAAACAAATTTAAAGAAGGTGGACACAACCTGTTCCCACTTCCATATGTGGATAACATTACATTATGAATCATGGCAAAAGAGATCCTACAATAAATTTGTTGGCTTTTAGCGTAACCCCTCTTTCTTCCAAAACAAAAGTTTTTCAGAATTACAACAACCTTTATTTTTTGAAAAAAAGGCAACATTATCCATAAATTCTGATTTCCTGTAAATGGTAAAATAAGCATTGATGGTGTCTATCAGATAATATGGTCGAAAGAGAAGGGAGGGGGAAAAGAGAGAAAAGCTTTGGAAATTTTATGCCATGCTGATCAGAGATATCGACAGAGATGTGTAGATCTGGGTAGGGTTTAGAAATACGCAGTTTTCGAGGGATTTAACGGTACTTAATTTGGGATCGCTAATCCATTCACCTGGATAAGTGGTTATTTTTAGGTCTGTAAGAGGAGAATGGTGATAAAACCACCTAATAGTAATACATACAATTCTTAGAGGAGAGGCAAACAATGTGACTCTTCATATTTATGAAAAAAATGTGTTGTTTTTTTACCAATTAAGCAAAAAGATCAAACATACGTATAAATAAGGGAAGGTGTCTTCTTTTTTGTACGCTAAAAGGAAAGCATATAATGGACTTTCTCTAGCCATCACCACCCCTTCCCTCACAAACGGACTTTCTCTAGCCTCCATTACCGCTTCTCTCACCAAATGGCTACTCCATTAATCATGTGGTCATGTGATGGTTTGATGTCAAAAAGGGCGATAATCAGACCAAGAAATGCTACCAGGAGTGCAAGGAGGAACTGGTGTGGTACGACACATGGAGTCTTTTCAGCTGTGGAGTCTGGTTAATCTCGGATTCTCAAACAGGCACAGTCGAAATCACCTTTTAGCTCTAGTAGATCAACGTTCCATTAAATTCTGGTTTTAAGAAAGGGGGAGAGATGGTTGCGAAGATAATCAAGAATAGACTGAAGCCTCTCCATCCCCGATTTCGGGTGCACAAAAGCAATCACAGGTCTTTTTAAACTCCTAAATCTTATAACAATCCACTGTATGGCCCTTCTTTGATATTCTGCATTTGAAAGCAAATTTATGACTTTAATGGATCAAGATTTGTCCCAAGTCTGTATGTCTAGTCGGTAGGTGGGAGCCAGGAATCTCTCTCTCTTCCCCAACAAAGAAAAGGACTTAAATGAAGTAAAAAGATTACTATTGAAGGTATGTGCATAATCTGAACACAAAGAAGTACTGATTTTGTAACCTTTTCATTAACACAGAAGATACGGTAGACAGAACTTGGTTGGTCGATGTACCAGCCAACTGCCTATAACATCGAAACAGGTAGAATGTCAACCGCATATTGAATGACGTCAAACCGCGTTGTCGCATGATACAACTGATGTGGAAAATTTTGCAGTTTCAAAAAGGTGCGTACTGCTTTTTTTCCTCTTCCAAAGAGTTATTTCGACATGCAAAGCACTTTAAAGTCAAACAAAACTTAGTGATGTAGCATTTGTCAGGAAGATTGCTAAATTCTCTCATGTATTATTTGGGGAGAATTTTTAAGTAAGTGAAATATTAGTAACATTTAACTGAATAGCTAATCAGCAGAACAAATAAATTTTTTTGGCTTTTGAAACGTGACTTAATTTTCCGTTTCATTTAAATTATACTTTGTTTGGTTTTTTAAACGAGAGGGCTATGCACTGTTATGGACCTCGTCGGTGGAGATAGGAGGAAAAAGATTTCTGTTTAGAATTCTTAAACAAATTCCTTTTAATTCGCTTTAAGCGGTTTTTTCACCAAATGGAATAGAGCGAATAGCCTTTTCTATTTTATGCGATTGTTTTTATAAAGACGGGAGAGGGAAATATCTTCAAATTAATTTGAGGTTTGTCTGATTCAAAACCACTTTTAACTTATTTTTAAATCCGTGAAAGCGTTTTAGGAGTTTTTGACAGCAGAACGCACTCTTCCAAAGCTACCCGAACAGCCTTTTTTAATAAAAAAGGCGTTAATAATGCCAGTTTTAAGGGAACCAAGGTCAAGAAATGATAATGCCTGACGTGATGAATGATGAAACAATTGACTTGTGCATCATTCGACCGAAAGTCATGGAAGCTATACAGATGAATGCCCAAAAAGCTAACAAAGGCGATATATCAATCTTTAAGGACTGACGAAGTCTTGCTGTGATTTCTGACTGACTGAGTGATCGGAAATGCTGTTCAGGCTATCTGCGTCATTTAGGCCAGCAATTATATTATTGCATGTCAGGGTGATTAGCTGACTTCCTCACACTTCTGAGGCATGCACCGCTCCACATTCAAGGGGCTACACTACTACAGACTTACATGCTGGAAATGAAGTTTTCGTTAATTTGCGCGGCTAAATTTTCTTCAATACAAAAGTCCTTTCCAAAATTTGCCTGTGTCAAAAACATTTCTAAAAATGCAGTGGCAGCTATAAATTAAATCCAGAATTCATTTATTAACGGTCTTATATTCGCTTTATTTCTAGGTGCCTTAAATCCACAATCCTCAAATACGAAAAAGGGAAAAAGATAACATTAAAAAGCTACAGGAGTTGAAGGACTTTTAATAGTTCGATTGCTTTGCCACTTGCCATGGTGTTAATAAATAAATTCCTTAAAAATGCACTATTATTTACTCCCTTCTCACTTGATGAGAGGTAAAGCAACTCTGTTACAAAGCCAATGTACTTCAAGCAGCAAAGATAGCCACAATGTAGCATTCAAGTGTTCACAGAGCTTAACGATCAAAAAACACCAACTGTAGGAGGGGAAGTAGTTATCGGGAATATCTTTAATGTGTACAATCTAACAATTCTTTGTGCCATTCAGTTCTTCCTTACGCGAAGCAATGAAGTCTTCTCTTTTTCTCTTATAAAAACTGGCGTGTAATCTCATTTTATGCCCTTTTTAAGGCTTCCCATCTGGGATGCTGCAGTACGACTGTCACTTTCCACCTTTCATTAACAGTCTATTCTTATTGTAATAAATTATTCATCCACTGTGGTTAATTGCCCTCCTAATTGTTACTACTCTCTTTCACCCCTCCTTCCCCTGCGCCCAGTCGCTTGTATTGTAAGTCTGCTTAGAAAAAGCAAATTCATTGCCATTTAAAATAAGCAACAACGTCAGCTAAGCTTACGGAAAAAAGGGAAAATAAGAGTATTGCCAGCGCCATCCAAAAATCATAAATTACTAGTCTTGATGAGACAAAAAAGAAAGGAATTAAAGGAACAATATTGCAGAACTTGTCCTTTATTTTTGGTTTAGTTGCATCATCGTAGTGGCACGAAATTGGCGCTGGCAAGGAGAAGGGAAGTGAATCAAAATAAAATTAACGGGTTGGTCAAAATCACAGAATATAGTACAGTGTATGAGTCGGGAACCAAATAGACAAAGGTTATTAAATAAAAGGGGAAGAAGTTCCCTTACAAAACACAATGATTCAGTAAGTTTTGGTTAAGGCATTTAAGGTTATAAAGGAAATGAAAAGATGTCTGGATGGAAAAGGCGCCTCTTTTAATGCCTGAAAGGGATCACCTACCAAGGGGAGGCCTGAGTTACGAATAATGAAGTGTTCATAGAGTCGAAGGTATGATTTAATAGACGTTAGATAATCACTTAACTCTCCTCTCTTGAGTGTGATCTGTAGTACTACCTATCACAGGGTAGTCCTTTGGACATAAGAGGTATTAATGTTTCATGAAGGCACGAAGATATTCGATCTCACTGTCTACGATCCAGTAGATGAAAGAAGTGGATTCGTTGATTCCCTACCGCCTCAGTCTGAATAATTGTCTGTAAAGAGTGTACTTTCCGTGCCTACTGCCCGTATCGGAACCTTTGCGCAACGGCAAAGTCATCAATCTGCGATCATCCCACTAACTATGATGGAATTATTTATATCTATATAAGAGCCATGGCATTTCCTAACGGATTGTTCCCAATTTAATCTGGTGTAAAACTACCTCATTTTTCATGTCTTATGGTAAAAAATTGAGATAACATCAATAACTCGTCCAGACGGTCCTCACTTGCCACCATTGTTGCTTATCAAATAATTTCTGAAGTCCTAAAATGGCCAGACCGGTTTAGTACGGAGACCAAGTTGACCTTGACAGCAATCATGGAACTGAAACTGCGAAAACTACGTTGCTCGTTTATTTGAATGGCTGCCTAAAATAAGAGTTTTTAATTTATAAATAAACGCACTTGAAATACTCCCCATAATATTTAGGCTTTACTTGCCCCCGTGACCAATGAAAATTTATTTATCAGAGTAATGGAAAAAATTTGGTTAATATGCTCTACCAATAACCATTTCATTTAGGACAGGAGAGAAAAAGTAAAAGTTCTTGGTCTTACCATTTTTTCGCGGAGATACCCATAACATATACAGCCTTTTACGAAGCCTTCATTCTGTTAAAACCAGAAGGACAGACTTGCAGTAATTAATAGAGCTCCCTCCGAGGTTAAAAAACAAGTGTACCTACCAGTTTTTTTAAAAAAGGAAAAGAAGAACTAGTTCAGATTGTTTCCCAAAAATACTACTTTGCTTTGCTTTGTTAGACTAAAGTAGGACAAAGTGAGAAAGTTTACAAAGAAGGAATCCAAAAATTCATAAGCAATTTCTTTGGCTCCATAGCTACTAATAGGCGATTGTGCCGCTCGGTGATTGTCTGATCATCCACACTCCTACAGTTATTTAGACCTGTCCATCCACCTCATTTAGTTGATAGGGTAAATAAAATTAATTTACTACTACATTTTTTATCATATGCCTTGCTGTATATTATCTACCGTTGTTTATGCGTCAACAGCAAAAGACACAGACATGCATCAGCCCGTTGGTAATGCTCCCTTCGTATAAAAACGGTGGTTGGATCCAACGGATGCGATTAGAACTTCTTTGTCTACAACGCTGAGCCTATCTCGACTGCAGAGCTATGGCCGATTTGTGGAACGCCTAGGAAGAGTGAGTATCTTAACCGTCCAGGATAGTTCGCCGCTATTGACTCAAAATAGAGGGATTGAGGAAAACTTTTGTGATTAAGTGGTTTGGTGGCGCCCCTGTCAGCTAAAAAAGTTGTGTGAACTAAGCCATTGCTCCTCAAATGCATTGACAGCAGGTGACAACTGGCTCTGTTTTCCCTTTTTGCTTCTTTCGAATCACAAAATTTTCCATGATTAGGTAATTCTAGCCTTGGGAGGACCCACTTTCATACAATTCGCTCAACATTCCTCACCTCTAAAGCATGTGCCTCCCAAGACCGGCCCATTTGGCGTATGACAGTCTTTAGTCTTTTCAAAGTCCAAGCAATCGTAGATGGGATATTACTAAAAGTTAAGTGTATGGGAAAAAGCCTCCAGAAGTATGTATTTGCTCATTAACAACTACTGTTCTTACAGGGTAAAGGTAAAACTCGCATTTGTGAATTGGCCTTATAACACACTTGAGGCCAGGAGGGAGGACCTTTGGACGCATGGTCAAAAGTAACTAGGGTTTTTTCTATGAGGCAGGCAGCTTCGTGACAGAACACTTTTTTCTGAGTATAAAGTGCTTAATGTTTGGCTTTTAAATAGTTAAATCTGCAGTTTACGGCGTGATCTTTCTTCTGCTCGCTCTATTGTAACTGTGATCTTTAAATGGGCTAAAATGTCTTTGTCGAGGAAGAAACGCTCTTGACTCATAGCAAAGAAGTTTACTAGATCTTACGAAAAAAAGTGCCTTTGGCAAAATACCTCCTAGGAATGATGCAATTCATTGTTATAACCCCTGAGATAAAATTACATGGTCTTGAGAAGTAAGTAAACCCAAAGAGCACATGGATATCTCATGCGATGGCGTCATGACCTAACAGTAAGGAGAAACATTTCTTTATGGTCAGAACTATACAGTTTACTTCATTTTAGGCCGCTTCCGGACAGTACTTTCTGCTCATAAAGGAGGTGCTGTCCTTATATTGCCAATTTCTGAGTCACAAGTTTCTGATGTGCAACTTCAATTTGGTGAGAAAGCAGCAAAGAGGGGACCACTAGGTACCAGCAGCCAGATTACGCACATTCGTTCTATGATGTGATCAATCAGGTGCTAGTCTGTGCTACTATGAAGCGATGGAGACATTTTCAACCTCTTCCAAACCTCGATATTTCCTAGCTGCCAGATTAGATGATTAGACTAAACTCAGAGTATTAATTGTAGTTAAGTTTATGTCATGACAGTTTGTTCTTAAAAACTTCAGATCTGTGAATTTTATTGCATCAGGAATGCAGTACAGAGGATAATACTGGGGACCGTCAGCTTGACACCGAATCTTTGCCTTATAACGCCATCAAACAAATACCTGGCACTCCAATAAACCGCAAAGGCTCCTTCGAACTCTTTCATGGCTCCCGACTTCTACGCAATTTAAAAGGAGATCACCTCAATTAGCGTACACGACAAATTTCCTGCCATAAGACCTACAAGTACGCAGCATCTCTAAGATCAAATTACGCTAATTGCCTCAAAGCCAAAGAAAAGGAAGTGGAGGACATTTTTATAAGTCAACCTTGTTCAAACTAAATACTTGAATAGGCAGCTTATTGATAAAACCCATTTAGGCGCCTTTAACTCACTCAGCCCCCACCTCTTCTCGTCGAAAATTAGTCAGGGGTGAAATTCTACTCCAAATACGGGGAATTTAGAATCAAAATGCAACAAAGGAGGGGAATCTCCTCCAAAAATTTAAAAGCATCAGTGTTTTAGGGGGTGCACTATATGCAAAAGGTAGATGAGACACTAATTTGTTAAATATGATAATGCTTGTGACCTTATTTACGCAAGTCTGGAGTGATAAAGACCACGTGGGCACAATCACTCGTGTCCCATGACATTTCATTAAGTCACTTCATTCCTTTTTTTAGATCAGCCTGTGCAATTGCAATCCTAACAATGATAGGATGAATCAATAGACGAATATTTTTGCTTTTCTTGTATCATTTGCGACAAGGTTTCTTCAAAGTTGAGGTTATTACTGATTACTCCTTAGTTTCACCAAAATTCACCCCACTTCTTGAAACAAATTTTTAAGGGTGTTTCGTTTTGTTTATTTTTTTGTCTGTTCTCCTAAATTAAGTTACATATTCTAAAATAAAAATAACTGGTTAGTGGGAGGCATCTCACATTGTGTAACGCTGCGGTTTCACAACTCTTTCGAGAGACTCACGGCTTGTGGTCTTCACAGTAGCGGAATTGGTCTATGTTCCTTCCTTATCATCAGCCACCTGACAAGAATGCGTTGTCTAATGTGGTATTTTTTTGTTGTTTCTCTCTCAAATCTCCGGTTTGGCCTATTGGATCATAAAAGTTAATTAGAGAAAGGTACCTTCTGCTGTTTGGTATGGGTACGGTTACGGTATGAGTGGTTACGTTCGTGCGGACATAAATAATGTAATCTGACGGCTTGTCATCTTCGCTCCATTTAGGAATGGGAAAATTTTGATTAATTGAGCTTCTAATGGTATTTGTAAGTGTGCCTTTTCTTAAGAACCAAAAAACTTGAAAAATTTCGAAAATAAGAATCACTTTTTGGCATTTAATTCCAAAAAATTAGTGCCTGCACAAAATTTTTATTATTTTGTTAGAAGAATGTGCAAAAATGACCACTTTTCTCCCTCAAAATATTGAATTGGAATTTTTGAACTAAAGCCGTTAAATGCTTCATAACAGAGGTGTTTTATTCTATATGTTGCAAAAGTTAGACCCGACTTTTATTTTAAGTGACGTTTTTTTCTTTGAAAAAAGAACAGGCATGGCCCTAGCTAATTACATGTCCATCGTCTTCGCTTTTACCTTTTAGCAGTCCGTTCTATTCCCCAAAGGATCTTTAAGTGCCACAAGAAGAGGTGACATTTTCTGCCTTCGAAGATACCTAGGATAAGTTACGATAGTATCTCACCTTTTATTCTTAAGTGAAATAGGCAAGAAGGTCTTCTTTTCTCTGCCTAGGATCATCGTAAAGAGGTAACACTTTCTTGTACACAGATAAATTAGGTTTATCTCATAGAGTAGACATAATTCGGTTGCTATGTCTGTTTGGCCCTCACCAAATTAAAACGTCACAATGATCAACTATACCTGCGTCTCGCTACCAAAATCCGAGAGAGAGCGGACTTACAACCAGTAGGTTTAACTGTTGAAATGTAGCAAAGAAAGCAAACTGATGGGCTAGCACCTCTCTGTGCTTCATGCCGCCTAGTCAAGTACAACTGTAAGGCATCTAAAAGACCCTAAGCGTCACACTAAAACCATCTATCATATCAAGCTAGAAAAATTAGCCAAAAAATTGTAAGTATTTTGAATTTTAAGCGTTTTTGAATTACTTAACTATCCCTACAACTTGAAGTGCTTCATGGTGAGGGGCAGAATTTCATGAGAAACTATAGCTTTTCCCTGCTACTAATCACTGGCTTACAGAGAAGCATTAGGGTGGAACATTTGCATTTTTCTCATTAAGCCAAATTAAGTGTCATTTGGAGTCAGCTTTTTAAGATAATTTTGTTCCGTATAATTTATTCAAAATTTCTTTAAAAATAAAACTTTAAGTTATTTTCAAAAGCATTGGTGTCCAAATCTGGAACAACGACCGGCATATTCTCACTCTTTTTATTGGACAAATATTTTTTATAAGAATCCGAGACAATAAACAAATTTTTTGGCGTTCAGTGATTGTATCATTTGCATTCTCTACCAAAGTCATTTAGATCTGAATGTCTACTTCATTTCTTCAATGCGGTGGATACCAATAATATGCTCATTTTTTATCTGATAGTTACAAAATGTGCCAGAAATTTTGAAGTGGTTTTGGACCTGTCAAAAATAAAATCTGAGTTTTCTTTCCCTTTTGAAGGTTTGACATGAGTGCCCTCATGAGCTTGGGGAGATGCGGCGTTATATGAAGGCATATTGATCAACTGGAAATGGTCCCTCTTTTGTGCCGACAGGTAAACTCAAAATAAACGGCTACAAATGAATATTTTTCCTTATACTGTTGAAAAGTGCCAGAGATCGCAATTAAGCTGAACTTATCATAAATTTTAGGCAAAACTTTTTTGATGTGTGAGTTTAATGCTGTGGGGAAGCAGTACAGAGTGGAATACGGGCTATTGGTACCTTTGCTCTATAATGTAACCAAACAAGTGCGTTGGATTATAGAAAATGCAAAAACTCAGCCTCTTCTATACTTTGGTCATTTTTGACTGACGCGCGACCCAAGTCTAGGTATCTTCTTGTATCGCCTAGGACAAGCATTCCCATTTCAGACTTACAAGTGAGTGACATCTTTATTAACAGCCTTTACTACGCTACCCGAAGCAAAGGATAAAGATAAAAAGTTTTCATCAGTTGATCTTGCATTAAATAAATACCTGACAAGGCAGCCTCTTAACGGATCTCTTTTGGAGCCTTTAAGTCCCTCCTACCCTTACTGTTAGGCGTCAGTCAAAGGCCAAATTCAACTTTAAATACAGTGAATATGGAAATATACAAAAACGTAGGTAAATCACTCCCATCTATTGCAAAGCCCGAGTGTAAGAGATTTACTTATCACTTATGTCAACAGTTTCAATCTACTCAAGGAAATCGTTGACACCTAGCCTAATCTATCAACATTCGTTGCCACCATTTTCTTGCATCCGTCCACACAATGCTGATATCACCCAAATCTTGCACTGCATTAACAAAAGACGCATTAGACAGCAGCACTTATCTCCAGGCAGGCATCTATGCAAAGTTATTTAACGTTGTGGTAAAAAATTATTTAAATAAGTTAATGTTTGTAAAGCAAAATCCCAAAACTAGAACTTAAAATGCTTTAATTTAAATAAAATTCCAATCGTTTTGCAGTCATTAAACTGTGGGAGAAATCTCAATAAATGCGCCTGACCATACAATTTGAATCTACCAGTTTTGAAGAGTAGCCCCAATGGGATTAGGCGAGACAGGTAATTTCGCGATTCTTTTTTCGTTATAACCTTGTATTACGACATCATTTTTACTAATTAGGGTGGAATATTGCGCTAGAGTGATTTATTGCCACTTTTTGACACCGCTTTCTCCCTTTTTTAACCTAAGTACTTCTGAGCCTAGAAGACCGAAGCACAATTTTGCAAAGCAAAAGGCAGCACACTCTTGACAGGCTCAACCGACAGTTTTTTTAGGAAGCAAAGAACAAAGTCACTACATTAATGCGCATCCTGTCTGGAAGGTGACGCAATTTTGTCCCACAAAATGCTAGGATATGGGTAATGACGTAAGTGCTGCAAGACCCTGCACCCTACAACCGTATATTTTGAAAAGCTATTTGGCGATAAAAAGGCAGATAGCTCCTGTCTACTAGACAAACAGGTTAAGCAAAAATTGTGAGATAATCGTCTCGAAAATTTGCTTTTTGAAAACTGTGTTAGTTATTTGGAGAGATGAAGATTAATTTAATTCGACTGGTCCCTTAGGATGATCTTATTATTCCTATGTTTCCTAATTTAAGAACAATAAAATGCATTTTTTCGAATAAAGGACAATCTTAACAGACGAAATTAAGTGAAAAGATTACGACAAAAGTAAAATTCCGAAAGATATTCTTTTGTTGTCTGTCAGGCACAACTAATTGAAATGGTGTTTTTGGCTGACACTATTCATCAACATTCTCTCTTTTGTTAATAAACTCAACTTTTTAAGCTTTAGATCAGAAACACCCCACACGAATTTATCTAAGATTGTCACACTAAAAAATCTGTGACATGGGCTCTGGATACAAAAATAAGGCGCAAATATTTATGCTGGTGTCTGGAAAAAAGTAAGATCTGAGTGTCAAATTTTTACTGTTGACAACACTGATAGCTTCCTCTAATCACACAACATTTTTTTCATGCAAACTTTCTTCTTCTTTAATGACTAGATACTCTATGGAGGTCTAATTTGTAATGCTATTAACTGAATTCTCTTTTCTGCTGGTAGCTTCATCCTCCTTTGAGGACCACCACGCATGTTTAGTATAGGCATTCACTTTGTAAATTAAGCACCTCCAAGTTACATGGAGCAAATTCTGTCTACTTCTTCATAAAGACTCAATTTTAAGATGTCCAGATGCTAAGATAAGGTCTGCCCATTCCTAAATTCGCCCCTGCAAAGGGCACATAATGACTTCCTTCAACCCTTTGCAAATGACTCAATGTAGCCAAAACATATAATTCTTAGGGGGTGGGAAAGAAGGAAGTATGTAAAGGGGACCGAGTTGGGGTACTTCCCAGAGTGTACCTTAAATCTGTTTAGCCACTCTAAGTAGGCAGAAAATGAAACTACCATATGTTTTGAAGTGGGAGATTGATGTTTTCTTGTGGGGAGACAACCTAATGTGTTTGTAGATTAGACGGCAACTATGATGACGTGTGCCTCAAAAGTTTGAACAATCAAGGTTTTTCTTGATGAGGAAAACCATATTCAAATTACTTGGCAGAATTCCTTTAAATATGGAAGATAGTACTCAAA